GAGATTTCGTCCATCATATGATGGACATCATCAGAGCTGGGTTTCATTCTTGTAAGAGTCTCACGTTAACTCTAGGCCAAGAACACTATCCGGCTCTATTTTATTTATTATATAGAGTTAATTAAGCCATAAGAAAATTGAAAATCTAGAAAGATCGATATAGAGTGGTTTGGTTAAGTATCTTCCATACTGGTTCTGTTACTTTTACTCGAGTGTATGAGTATGTGTATGTGTGTGTGTGTTAGTGTCTATATACCATACGGTTCCTAAACCAGAATTGTCAAAAGTTTAATCTCAGGTTCTGATCCTCAAGGCCTAATAACCCAAGAGAAAGCCTTGACCGAGACTGCGTAAGTCCGTAAGTAAGTATGGTTAAGATAATGAGATATGAGCTTGTAAGCATGTAAGTCAAGTCACGAAACCACTTGTCCTAACCTTTCAGTATAGGGTCACTAACGTTTAACCCCCCAAGAAAAGGTAAGACTATGGTTGTGTAATCTGACATGTCTGGTTTGGTTGATGAGCTTACTCTAACATAATGGACGAGTGTGATTAAAGTTATAACCATCACCGAGTAGACAAATTGAGTCACCTTCTTTTTGACTGCGGCTCAACACCATCTATCTCTTTCAATCTATCAATCGAGCATAAGTAGTTCATACTCAACTTTCTACCACCGTTCCTCACATTCAACGTATTTTTTAAACTATTAATTTTAATAGTTTCTCTTATCTTGCTTTTAATCACATACGTACCATAATCAACAAACCTACAAGTTTGAGACCATTCTATTTCATGTCCAGTTTCTACCATGTGTTCGGCCACTTCTGATCATTGAACCCAGCTTCCTTTACAAGCATTTTTGTGTTCTCCCATCTCTTCTTCATGCAGTTTCATACGAAATGAAGATTAATAGGCCTCAGGAGGTTTATGAATCTCATCGGGTCTGTACTGGACCATTGTTCGATCTCGCCTCACATTCTTATCACCCCCCTTGATAGGATTCGATACCGAGTTGTGAGTATCATATTGAACTTACCACTCCATCACACAGTTTCAGGCACTAGATATTGCGGATGTGGCATTCGAAGCAAACCAGGACTCTACCAAATCACACTTATAATTGAAATTTAGATTAAACAAACAAGTGCCTGCTATTGCAATCTACGACGTTACTTATATTCAATATGAGTAGTTTTCGACATTATTAATAATTCTTATATAAGGACCCGTTGCCGTGTAGTAGAATGGTAATATCGCCATGATACTCACGACCCGGTGTCGAATCCAGATGGGGATGCCGATGATGCTCAGGCGAGGTGTCTAAGATAATCTTTTGGTATGCTGATGTCTGGTCATATGAATGTGGGAAAACTGAAGTGACCGCCTTTAAATCCCTTTATACGACCTAGGTCGATTACTTTTTTATTAAATAAACATTTTTAAAACTATTCCCATTACAGGACTAGAATAAGACCTTTCGTCACCCCAGGTCTCATGAGGTGAGGATGAGCTGACGTTTCCCAAAATGATATGAGTAGGCCCCCGACGCTAATGGAGTTCCCTTAGCATTGCTTCCTAAAAGGGTGGATTGGAGTTTCAACTTCGCTGGGGTCTCATCCGTCCCCGACGGGAATCGAATTCGAATAGTTGGTACAGCGTGTAACTTCGACATATTACGACTACACAATACTGCCATGAATGGCAGGACAGGGGTCTCGATGATCTAATTAAAACGAAGAATATGTAATGTCGTGGAGTGCTTTAGCAAATATAAATTTGCTTCATCGACAATCCTACCACATATTTTGATATAAGAATATGCCTGGCCTTGTGTGAAATTCACACCTGCTCTCTGAACCAAGGAGATTCGTGATAATGTGGCGTATTGGTCTGCAGTTCCATGCTTCGAGTCCCACTGGAGGTGTTTATAAGACCTAGGCGAGATGGAAACTGCAGTCCACCCTGGATGAGACTATCTTTCGGAAAAGCAAGGATATGTGAAATTCCGTGGAAAAGTCAGGTCTGTTCATAGCATTGTGGGATACTTCAGCTACCAGCCCTCTTATCACCCACCTCATATACATTCATTTTGTTTTAATCAGCCATGAGATTTCATCTGTGCTTCTAAGCTGATATCGCGGAAGGCCATCTTTATTGTGGATACACGCGGTTGTACTCGTACAAATAGAATAATGACAATATAGCCTAATATCGTTTATGTAAAGAGAGAGAGAGAGTCGTTATAAAAATAGTACATCAAGAACTTGACCAAAGCCCAGTTACTCTTCACATCTACAATTAAGGTGGCCTTCTGCAATATTGCCTACAAGGACAGATGAAAGCTCATCACTGATTCATCGGGATTGCAGTTTGAGGCGCAGAGGACTTATTCGCCTACAGCTACAGTTACACCTTCAAGGCAATCTTCATTTGGCTTCCGATGCGGCGAACTTGCGAATTCCTTCCACTCTTTTTTGAAGAAAAGCAGCTTTTTTCATATCTAAGTAGGAGTTTGAGGCCATTGGTTGAGCCTAATTCGTTTATGGTGGTGAATTTTTCATACAATGAGATGCTGTTGTGTCAGCAGTCTTATGTGCAAAAGAGGGCTAACAATGCCGAAATGTGAATTAAATGAAAATAAAGTGCATTTTGAGGCTGTTCTGAAGGGAATTGTAGGTGACTTCCGATGATTTGGTACATTCCCGGACATTTCGCCGACATCGGTGTAGGCATTGCCAGGGTTACAACTACCAAAGCGGCAAATGAAGACATTCGTCTCAAACTGGGCAAGAGGAGAGACCCCAACGGTTGTGCAGAAAGTCGGCTCGATGCCGAAAACTATCATGAACACTTTGCCAGAAGACGTCGGACTGGGGCTTCGACCATGCTGCAAAAACGAGGTGAAACCAACACAATGTAAAGGTAAGTTGGGGAGACAAGGAGTTCGTTAGAGCTGGTCAAGACGGAGAAATCGAGCATAGGCTCTTGACTCGAGTCTGGTCTACTCCGGTGCTTCCGATGATGCGTGACTATTGGAGGTTGTCGATGTCATCAGCCCCAAGTGGGCTCCTCTTTCGGCGCAGATGACATGTAGCTGAGACTGATTCGACCCTCCCACACACAACACTCCGTCTGTACGTGGCCGCATTATTCGGTCTCATCGTATGACACTCCGACGTGTCTTTTGTGTCGTCAGGTCGACTTACGTGGATCTAAGCCTTAGACGCCCAACCAGCAGCCGTGGCATCGAGAACCGGCCCCTCGAGATGGCATCGATCTGTCCGTCAATAGGCGGTGTCTGTCAACTTGTGTGCATTTTAGCACACCTCAGGTCTGAGTTGCCGGACGCGGGGGAATACAGCGGCTGGCGGGGTAATTGATGTAACGGTACGAGGCTGAAGAGAAAATAGTGAACTGACGAGAGCAGAAAAGCAGGTCAACCAGCCCTTGGTTGTTAACGCAGTCGACCAGGTAAGCATACACACACTCATAAATATATGCTGCAAAGCACTCGAACCTTATCCCTTCAATGAGAAGAATCACGGCGGCCCAACCGGTGGCAGACACTCTCCGTCGTTTAAAGAGATAAAGGAAGAGAGAACAGATGTGCCGATGATGTGGATGGTGTGTTGGTGTATTGAAAGTATGGAGTATTCGAGTGATGGAGTTTTGGGATGGTGGTATTATGGAGTGTTGGAATAATGGAATATTAAAGTGTCTAAATGTTTGAGTTTTGGTTTGTTTGCGATTTGGTATGTTAGAGGAGTAGAGTGATGGAGTGATGCAATGACTTTATCTTTGAGTTTTTGTGTCAGTCTTTTGGTCTATTGTGGTGTTGAAGTGTTGGAAATTTGGACCGTTGTTTTTTTGGTGTTTTGGAGTGTGGATTGCTGAAATGTTGGAATGTTGGTAATATAGAATGTTGGAATACTAATGTATTTGAGCTTTTGGGTGTATGTTTGTTTCTACTTTGGTTGGTTGGACTGTTGATATGCTGGATTGTTGGTTTGCTTATATTTCGGTTTTATGGAGAGGCGGAGTGATGGATTGTTTGTATGTTGGAGTGATAAAATGTCTTTATCTTTGAGCTTTTGAATGTCAGTCTTTTCGTGTATTGTGGTGTTGAAGGGATGGAAATTTGGAACGTTGTTTTGTTGGTGTTTTGGAGTGCGGAATGTTAAACTGTTGGAATATTGGTAATTTAGGATGTTGGAATACTAATGTATTTGAGTGTTTGAGTGTTTGTTTAGTTGTGCTTTGGTAGGTTGGACTGTTGATATGCTGGATTTTGGTTTGCTTATATTTCGGTTTTATGGAGAGGTCAAAGATGGATTATTTGTATGCTGGAGTGATAAAATTTCTTTATTTTTGAGTTTTTGAGTTTTTGTAATTTTGAATATTTCAGTATTTTAGCGTTTGAGTGTTTGAGCTTTGACTTGTTAGCCTTTTTGAATGGTGGAATGCTAAAGTATCTTGGTGGTTGTGTATTTGCTTCTGATTTGGTTTGTTTCTATGTCGGATTGATTGTGTTTTGGTCTGTTGGAGTGTTGATGTGTTCGAATGTTGGTTCGCTTATATTTTGGTATGTTGTGGGGGTGGATTGTTGGATTATATTTTTATTGCATTTCTTTTAGTTTTTGATTAATACTCTGTTGATCTATTGCAGTGTTTTGAGTGTATGAGTGTTGGAACGTTGATTTGTTGGTGCGTTGTTTTATCTCCTACATCCCCAGTTTCACACGCATGTCGGCCCGCATTTAACTCTTGTTGGCGCGTGTTGTAGCTTCCTCATGCAGGCATGCCCACACGTTTGTGTGCAAATGTTGTGTTTTGAAAGGGAAGAGTG